AACAGGGTTCAAGGGTCAAGCTCGTGTGATTCTGCCGACGCTCTCCTCCTGCATCGAGTGCCAGCTGGACATGCACGCGCCCCGACCTGCGGTGCCGCTCTGCACCATCGCCACCATCCCGCGCCAGCCCCAGCACTGCATCGAATGGGCCCACCAGATCGCCTGGCAGGAACAGCGCAAGGACGACACCTTCGACAGCGACGACCTGGAGCACATCGGCTGGATCTACAACGCGGCGCTGGAGCGGGCCCGCCAGTTCCAGATCCCTGGAGTCACCTTCCAGATGACCCAGGGCGTCGTGAAGAACATCATCCCGGCCATCGCCTCGACCAACGCCGTCATCGCCGCCGCCACCACCTCCGAGGCCCTGAAGATTGCCACCTCGTGCAACCCGTACTTGGAGAACTACATGATGTACGCCGGCGAGGAGGGCGTCTACACGTACACCTTTGAGGCGGAGAAGAAACCCGACTGCCCCGTCTGCGGCAACCTCGCGCGCGCGATGACCGTGGACCCGAACATGACGCTGGAGGCCTTTATCGAGGCGCTGGGCGAGCGACCCGAGGCCCAGCTGAAGAAGCCCAGCATGCGCACGGAGGAGAAGACCCTCTACCAGCGGTTCCCGCCGCAGTTGGAGGAGCAGACCCGGCCCAATTTGAAGCTCAAGCTCAGCGATCTGATCGCCGATGGCCAGGAGATCGCAGTCAGTGACCCCGCCTATACCATCGACTTCCGGTACAGGCTGGATTTCAGCTAAGAGCCACACCATATGCTGCGGGTACCGGAATTTATATAGTGCAAATGCACACTAGTTTACGAAGAATACACGATTCTCCTACGATGAGCCACGTCAAGCAATTAATAGGAGTTAAATCTGCTTTTTCTATTTCAAAAGTTGTTTCCCTGTCCGGACTCCCGACAAGTTGTAAAGAAGGTTTGTGTGGACCAACTTTTGTCCGTAAAATGTACAAACGCAGAAATAAGAAAGCACAGGACAACAAAAACAAATAGGAATCCAACGCCTGGCCAATGCATTATATAGCTTCAAATCATTTTAGGTGCGGGGAGGAAAACCGAATTCAGCGCGCAAGGTCAACGAGGCCCCGCTTCCATCTCGCGCATTTCAGCTTCAGCACCTTCACGCTCTCCAAGAACAGCACGTCGCTGTCGGCCTGGCCAACGCTCTCCACGTTGAAAATGAAGTGATCACGAACGCGACCGAGCTTCACCTTGCCCTGGAACTCTTCGTGTCGGAGACACTCGCGGCTGACGGTGTCCTTGAAGGCATCGCGCACGACGGCCTTCATCTCGCCCTCGTGACCCTCGTAGCCGCTTCCCTTCTGCGACGCCTCCTCCCGGGTGACCTGCTCCAGGCCGATGACCCCGGCGGGGAAGCACTTGACGAACTTGCGCGCGTCCTCGCCGACGATGGGGCGCAGGATCTTGATGTCGGGCAGGAGACGGTAGGAGGCGGTCGCGACGGGGGAGAACTTGGCGTGGTCGGCGCCGATGCCCTTGATGACGTGCAGCTCCATGTCGATCTTCTGGCCGGGGCGCAGCTTGGCGATGAGGATGTCCGGGTTCACGGGCTGGATGGCGTCATCGCCCACGAAGAACTGCTCCTGCCGACCGACCGGGTGGAAGGTGATGTCCCGGGCGTAGACGTGAGCGTGCTTGTAGAGCTTGCGGGGGTCGTCCTCGCCGGCGGCGGCGTGGGGGTTCTTCTCACACTTGACGTCCAGGCGCAGGACGATCGTGTTGAAGTCGCTCGGGGTGCTGCCGCCCTCCGGGTCGTCCTCGGTGGGCTTCTTGAACCACCGCATCCAATTGATGCCCTCCACGGAGCCCTTGAGGGGGATCAGACCCAGCCGCTGCGCGAGCACCTCGTCCTGGATGACGGAGGTGTTGTTGTGGACGAACACGAATTCGATGGCGATGCTGGGCACCTCGGCCATGAGGATGCGGCGGAAGGCATTGGCGATCGAGGCGTCGACGCCGACCAGCGAGAAGGAAGCTTCGAATTGCTCGTTCCGGTGAAACTCGACATTGAAGTTCTATGTCGTGCGAGAGTAAGATACGTTAGCGCATGCGCGCAAGAAACAAATTGGCAGTGAAGGAAGCTGGACTTGAGTTTGAGCTGGACGAACATACATCACGGAATTTTTGCAGGTTCCATTCGTGCGACTCGCCAGGCCAGTGACCGGGGAAATCTGTCGAGGCGAAGTTGGAGACGGTTTCGGGGTTGATATCGACAATCTGGGAGCGCAATTAGTACGAAGGGTCAGAGAAGATGTTAGAAGCAAGAGCAGAAGAGCCAGGCATACCCGTCTACGTTGGACTTCCTCCTGCGAAGCGATGAGGGGTGCCATGATGGGCGAGAAAAGTGGGGGAATTTAAGAAGGTGACGGAGGGACAATAATTTGAAGCGGATTCTCAGAAAAGTTCTTTGACCGCAGCGGCAGTATTTTTCTGCAGGGCCAAAGGCGGCGAAGAGCGGGAGGGGGAGCAGAGCAGAGCTCTCTATTCTGCACCCAGCGGCAATGGCTGTCGGCCGCACTAGGGAGCTGAGCAATAGAGGGCCGAGCGGGAGACCAACCAGAGACGGCCTGATGACCAGAAAGCTACCCTCACGTGACGATCCAAAATGTATCTCGATTGGAAAGCGCAACCTCCAGAAGGCGTCACTGAGCCCGCCTCAATTCCACATCCCCAATTCCCGCATCTCCACCCCTCCTTCCAACACCTCCATTGTGTCTGGGCTGAGGGCTGTTCCGCCTCTTCTCACCCTCGTCCTTTCTACCCCGCTCTTCCGAATGGCTGCTCCCTTCGCTCGCCTGGCGGGCAATGCGCCCAAAAGGCTTTGCCTCCGCCCCTCTACCTTCTCCAGAAACACTGCTCTCCCCAGATGCCGCTCGATCACGACGACTCTGCCTCGCCGGCAGGCCGAGCCGACCAGCTACCAGGCGACCAAGCTCATTCCAACTGACCCGACCTTTTCCTCCTTCGCCAACAAGGAAGGTGCTTCCGAAGACGATTACGCCGCCGACATGGAGTCCACGGACACAGGGGCTAATCGCAAGATCCGCCATTACACCGTCAACTTCGGTCCCCAGCACCCGGCTGCTCACGGTGTGCTTCGGTTGATTCTGGAGCTCAATGGTGAAGAGATCGTCCGCGCAGATCCCCACGTTGGATTGCTCCACCGTGGTACGGAGAAGTTGATAGAGTACAAGTCCTACATGCAGGCCCTGCCGTATTTCGACCGATTGGATTACGTCTCCATGATGACCAACGAGCAGTGCTTCTCCCTGGCTGTTGAGAAGCTGTTGAACGTTGAGATCCCCGACAGAGCCAAGTGGATTCGTACCTTGTTCGGCGAAATCACCCGTATCCTGAACCACCTCATGTCCGTCCTTTCACACGCCATGGATGTTGGTGCTTTGACGCCTTTCTTGTGGGGTTTCGAGGAGCGTGAGAAGCTCATGGTAAGCCGCGCTGTCCGCGTCAATTGAGCTCCATTGAGCTAATCTGTGATCATTTATCCTAGGAATTCTACGAGCGAGTTTCGGGTGCCCGTCTTCACGCTGCCTACGTCCGCCCCGGTGGAGTTTCCCAGGACATCCCTATCGGTCTTCTCGACGATATCTACCAGTGGGCTACCCAGTTCGGTGATCGCATTGACGAAACCGAGGAGCTGTTGACGGACAACCGTATCTGGAAGGCCAGAACCCAGGGTGTCGGTGTTGTCAGCGCCGCCGAGGCTCTGAACATGAGTTTCACCGGTGTCATGCTGCGCGGATCCGGTGTCCCCTGGGATATCCGCAAGTCTCAGCCCTATGATGCCTATGACCAGGTCGAGTTCGACGTGCCCGTTGGTGTCAACGGTGACTGCTACGACCGTTACCTGTGCCGTATGGAGGAATTCCGCCAGTCCCTCCGCATTATCCACCAGTGCCTGAACAAGATGCCCGCTGGTCCCGTCCGTGTCGAGGACTACAAGATCTCCCCTCCTCCTCGTGCCGCCATGAAGGAGAACATGGAGGCTCTGATCCACCACTTCCTGCTGTTCACCAAGGGTTACTCTGTGCCCCCCGGAGAGACCTACTCCGCCATTGAGGCTCCCAAGGGCGAGATGGGTGTGTTCCTGGTCAGTGACGGTAGCGAGAGACCCTACCGCTGCAAGATCCGTGCTCCCGGATTTGCTCACTTGGGTGGTTTCGACCAAGTATCTCGTGGTCACTTGTTGGCCGATGCTGTCGCTATCATTGGTATGTTCTGCCCGTTCTTCACTCACAGGAAGGAAACAATCAGCTAATTGTTCTTTAGGTACTATGGATCTTGTGTTCGGTGAAGTCGATCGGTAGAAGTTGGATGAAGCGTGGCTGAGTATCTCCAAGACCTGTAAAACAGCTTCAGGGCACGTGATTCTGATATGTGGCACCCAACTATTTTCTTTTGCTATTTAGAAGCGAATACAAATGACCAAGAGAGAAAAAAAAGATTAATTGTCTATATCACTTGTGCGTGTATGGGAAGTGTGTGGGAGCAGGGAGCTGTGGTGATATATCAGTTGTACCAATTGGTTTTCATGGCGTTGACTCCGTTTGTTCTGATTTCCTATGTTTTCTGTCTCGTGCTGCACTGTGACCATGTCTCGAGTTTTCCTTTTATATCTTTAAATCACCCTGTGTATAGTGACCTCAAAAATTTTGACAAGTTTTGACACTGGAAACATGGTAGTGAGTAACAGGATGATTGATGATACAGAGTACTAGGCATCTAGTATCATGGGTGAGCTGACCTAAATTGGTCAAGAGGGAAGAGAAGTTGACCTGATCATGTACTGTATTGCATGTGGTATCTGCTGTACAGTCCGTCCCGTCTATACGGCCGACAGGACGATCACGTGGGAATACCAAGATCAGGTGACGGGGGGCCTCGGGCAGATCTCCAGCTGATCGACGGGCGGAGCTACTCTTTCCATTCCATACTTACTTCTGGGGGAGCCGCCCGAGACCAGACGCCCTCTTTCTTCGCTTCATACAATTTATCTTGTATAAACCTTTCTGCCAGAGAAAACACCCCCTTCCAGCTCGCAGACATACCTTCTTACTCTTTTCGAGACTGCATTCCTGTTTTGCATCTGCTCCACCCATAAAGTTCCAGACGTCATCTGCAAATTGACCGTACGACTCGACTCCGCAGAGCCTCACTCAACGGCCACCGGCTTTTATACTTGAACACCGCTGGAACCCGGAGTTGATGCCTTTGATCTTCTGAGAGTGTGTGCTGTGCAAGATCCCCTTTTCTCAAGATGTTCGCTACAAAGCGGTTAAGCAAGGTATGTTCTTCTTTCTTTCTTTCTTTTTTTTTTTTGTGTCTCTCCGCATGTTCCCCCGCGAAGACAAATTTCCCCGGCTAACGTTACACCGTCCGTCGCAGGAGCTTATCAAGGTATGAATGAGTTGACTTTGCCTTTCCCCCTCTCCCCACCACGGGTCCCTCAACAATCATGGGCTCTACCTCCAATCGCAAAACCTCGGTCTCCTCGACATCTAATATATAACACACCACACCCCTCAAAAAGACCTAGCACACCAGCTAACACCCCGCGCCTGTTCGTGCCATACAGATAAAAGAACACCTTCCGCCCGGCATCTCGATCGTCAAATCCGACAACCTCGAAGAATGGCTCATGGACATCAAAGTGCTGGACGAGAACCCGCTGTATCTGAACGAAACCTACCGGTTGAAGTTCACCTTCAGCAATAAATATCCAATTGGTGCGTTCCCCCCCCCCCCTGCTGCCACAAGATAGAGACTCGGAGAGAGAGGGGGGTGGGGGGTGATGGATGCCCCGCGATCTGAATCCAAATTCCGCGCTGCTCTCCCCAAGGCTTGAACCTCCCCACCACCATCACCACCATACACATCGGTACCCGTGTATATATATATATGAGAATACGCATCGCTAATGCCCCCCGGGGGAAAATAATAGAACCCCCCGAAGTCCAATTCGTCACCACCCCCGCCGCCGCCGATGAGAATAACGCGACTGCAACCACCCACCCCCGCCGCACCATCCCCATCCACCCGCACATCTACAGCAACGGGATCATCTGCCTCGACCTCCTCAGCTCGGCCGGCTGGTCGCCCGTGCAGACGGTCGAGAGCGTCTGCATGAGCATCCAGAGCATGCTGACCGCCAACAGCCGCAACGAGCGGCCCCCCGGCGACAAGGATTTCGTCTCGTATAACCGCCGTCGGCCCAGGGATATCAATTTCATGTATGATGATGATAATGTATAGCCCCTTCCTCTTCCTGTTTCTGGGGTCAGGATTCGGGGGGGAGGGGGAATTGGGGGTGAGGGCGATTGAATGAAGAGGGTTGACAGGCGGGACCGAAGGAGTGAAGTATCATACTCGAGTGATCTCTTTCCCGCGGTTCGTTCTTGGGTTCTATTCTCACGCCTCTGTCGTCTGTTGTGTTTATCATCTGCATGGGGGGTCTATTGGCGCGGGCGTATCTGGAGTTTTTCTCTTGTTCTTGTTTCTGGTTTCGAAATCCCTTGGCTGGCTGAGGCTGAGGCTGGGATTCACACGGATCTCCTACATCTCCCATCTCCCACCTCCCACCTCCCACCTCCCATCCTTCCGCTAGCATTTGGACTTCCACATCCACATATCTTCTTACTGCCTCGCCTAATGCTTCCCCGTCTTGCCTTGTCTTGTCTTCTGTTTCATCTGTGAATCCAAGAAATGAACCACGATATCTCTACTAATACTATTCGATGACCGTCTTCTAACTCCGTTAAAAACCGTACGATGTAACCAGCTAGATGCAAAATCAGATTCTCGTTCACAAAGATGGACATAACCCACTAGAAGACAAGGAAACTATGGACGGGGAATCATTTGAAAAGAAAAGAAAAATGCAGAAGGAGCATTCTCCACGGTGTGTGTGTTCATGGTGTCCAAAAGAAAAACAGGAATAGAAGCCAATGACCCCCACCCCCAAAGCAAAAAGTTGCACACAGATAGTGGGGTCGGAAAGACATCTCACCCCCTCTCTGCCCCTCTCTATCGAGAAACTTCGCTAAAATTCGTAGGACTCAACCACCAATCAAGCATGAGAGGTCTTCTCGCGAGCCTCCCGCTCCACGCGTTCGCGCTCCTCGGTCTCCTTCGCCTCGCGCACCTTGGCAAGGACAACCTCCCGGAAGATCGCGCCGCGGGCGACCTTGCTAAGGCTGCGCTTCTTGCGGCCCGTGGCGTCGCTTTCCGGGGACGAAGGCGCGGACTTGCCGTTCGGGGAGGCGGCCGCCGGGTCGGTCGAGTGGGGGGCCGCGGCGTCGGCCTCGCCGCCCGCCACCTCGACGACGCTGGGGATATCCTCGTCGTCGTCCTCCTGCATCTTGAGGGACTCGATGCGGTTGGCCAGCTTGATGATCTCGATGCCGCGGCGCAGACGCGACCGGGCGATGTAGGCGCGGATCTCGGGCAGCAGGTCGCGGTCGCTGGCGGTCTCGCCGGTCAGCCAGGGGTGCTTCAGGGCGTCCTCTGACGTGACGCGCTTGGCGGGGTCTGGCTGCAGCATCGTGAGGATGAAGTCCTTGGCGTCCTGGGAGACGTCGCGCCAGTAGCGCTCGTGGAAGATGATCCGCCCCGAGCGGCACTCCTCGATCAGGTCGGTCAGGTTCTCGGACCGGAAGGGCGAGTAGCCGCAGAGGAGGGTGTAGGTGATGACTCCGAGGGACCACATGTCGACGGCCTTGCCGTGGCCCTTCTTCAACATCACCTCGGGGGCAGCGTAGCCGAACGATCCCGCCATGCTGGTGAGAACTTCGCTGGGGCTATCCAACATCTTAGCGATACCGAAGTCGGCCAGAACCAAGGGGGAATCAGGGGCGCGGGTGAGGTATAGAAGGTTCTCGGGCTTCAGATCTAATGCGCACATTTGGAAATCAGTTTTCTGCGCAGGGCAATTTCGTAGAATCTGGAAGCGAGGCAGGAGCGCACTCACCTCTGTGGACGATGTTTCGCTCGTGCAGGTAATGTACGGCACCGAGCACCTGTCGGATGACTCGAGACGCATCCTTCTCTGTGAACTTTCCGTATTCGCAAATGCGATCGAACAACTCTCCACCTGTGGCCAGTTGCGTGACGATGTAGAACTTGTCCTATCGAGCTGTTAGAGGGAGAAGCAACGACGGGGCGAGCCACTGCGTTGACCGACCTTCGATTCGAACCAATCGACAAAGTGGACGATGTTGGGATGGTTCAGAGCCTGGAGCATCTCCAGCTCATCGTAGACCATGCGTTCGTTGCCTCGGACATTCTTCTTCAGGATGATCTTGATCGCGACTTTCCCTTTGCTGCTATCCGCCTCCCGGACGATACCATATGTGCCAGCACCGAGCGTTCTTCCGAATTTGTAGTGGGATCTATACCGAAAGAGCAAAATCACTTATTAGTACGCCTTCCACACGATATGAAGCAGGGGGGAGAACCGTACTTCTTCTCGTAGCTTTCCGGCTGTCCAGACAGCTTGTTGAGCATATTAGAGACTAAACGAGAATCCCAAGGTTAGCGCATGCTGGTCGAGTCATTTGCTTGCAAAGGACAGCGACAGATCAATGCACATGAGCTACACACACTCCCAAGGCAAGACAGATGGACGGTATAAGGAAAACGGAGACAACAACAATGCCTCACGAGATTGGCGGACCAAGAAAGCAGATCAGAATGAGAAATCCACCCCAAACCCGGACACTGGGGTCACAGAGAAAGGTGATTGAGAATGAGGCATTCATGGGGGAAGTTGTGAAGCATGAGAGCTCCAAGACACCACCACCAGCAAGATAGGAGATAGGATAAGGAACAGCGATAGCGCTTCAAGGCAAGCGAAGCTACCACGAGGCGTGGACCATGTCTCGTGGGACGGGGGATGGGCGATGAGAAAGCAAGCATGAAAGAGGCTGACAACGTACAACTCATCTCGACGGGTGATAAGGCCGATTATCCTGGCCTTAGGATCTAAAAAAGTAGTGTGCGGTGGGTGGGCTCTGACCAGCGAGCGCGCGAAGAATCGATGGGAAACCCCGCACGTGCGAATAGTAGCGGGGCGGTTCAAACGAGGTCGGAGAAAATCCCGGTCGAGAGTCGTGGGAGAGAGATTGGACTAGAGGAGCAGTGATTACGGGTGAGTCTCTGACCAGATCAAAAGAAATAAACTGCGTCAGGTGTGTGAGGTAGAAAATCCAGGGGGAAAGACGACCAGACAAAATGTGGATGAGCGATAAGGGGGGGAGACGTGGGGGGAGGGAGTACTGTAAAGTGTAAAAAAAGAGGGTGGAGGAGAGAGCTGAGGGTGTAAACACGGGCGGGCGGCAGCGGTACTGTACCTGAGGCGTTAATCGGCAATGCACGTGCAAGGCAAGGCAATGCAATGCAGAGTGAGAGAGTGAGAGATTCAGGCAGGAAAAGTCAATAAGAGCGAGGTATCAGGGCCAGCGAGGGTTTTATTTGGAAAGGAAAGAGAGGTGAGAGTCAGGGAGAGACAGCGAGACCTCGATAGTGGATAGTGGGGAGGCAGTGGGAGGAAGTACGAAAGTCCAAGTTCTAGCCCGTGGGTGGTGGAAAGCACAGCCACGGCTACCTTTACTTTCCACTGACAAGGCTGCCGCATTTAATGGAGCTTCCCTCTGTATGTACAGTACTCCGTACACTACATAAACTTCCATTGTTTGCTCAAGTCAACTTAACTTATCGTGTTTGACGTCAACTCCCAATTGGAACTGAATCTCAGCCCAATGGATCAGGCCAATACAAGTCCGTCTCATGACCATTGGAGGGTAGGTAAATCTACTCGAAATACTAATGCAGCCTTGCAAATCAGGCACCCCGCCGAACTCGCGCACTGAACCTGAAACCGCCAGTCCCTGACGCTAAATCAGCCCTGTTTAATTAAATCCCCAGGCGGTGTCCCCCCCCTCTCCCTCTCGCCCAAATTTTGTGCCGCCCACGGATGTTATAGGAGAAAGGTACATACAGTACGCAGTCATACTGTCCATACTCCATAGTAAGACATGTGGGAATCCACAAACGCCCACAGCAATTGTCACTGCTATGCTAAAAGTTTACGCCGTGTCAACTAGCTAGCTATATTTAGCAATTCGTACTCGTACTGCACACTGGCTAAACCACAGACAGCGACATTTGGCCCCCAAGGGGGACAAAAAAAATTCAAGCTTGCACCTCGAAATCGGATCTATCTCAATCGGAGCTGTAAATGAGTACAACACTACCTAAATCGACTATCACCAGCCACAAAAGTCTGTAGTTCAATCGCCCGGCACTGATTGGATCGTGCAGGCTTGGAGCCAATCTGTCGTCTCTTTTTTTGCTCGGAGCCCTGTGAAACAACTCTGACACGTCCCACTAGCTCCATGGCCCTTTACTGCTAGGGTTGAAGGAGTTTTTCCCAAAGCTGTGTTTCACTAAGTCGATGCATGAAAGTCTCGAGGAAGAAATGAATGATATGCATGAATGCATCGTGTGTCCACTTATCGATTCCCGATTCATGTAATGGAAGGTGCAGTGGCTATCTGGTTGCCCTAATTAGTGCTCTCTTTTGGTCTCAGGAACCAGCCCATCGATGCAATCGGAACCAGAAAAGTTTCTGCATCTCCTTAAAGTATAGACAGCCCCGTGCGCCGGCTACCCTTACAATTCTCACCCCAATGCTAAGTTAACTGTACAAACGACGCGACAATGCTATACATATGCAATTCTCAACGCCAAGCGCAACCCTCAAAAGATCGCTGGACCGACACGCCAGAGGCAAACAAGCTCAATGCAACTCAAACGCCAAGACATCTATGCAACCAGTAAAAAATGGATCACTGCACTTCCTTCAGGTATAGCTCTTCCAAGACTCTAGAGCAGTAGGCCCGGTAGTACTCCTCTCCCTTCCACCCTCGCCGCTGAGACTTGGTTCCGACTGTCTGCCACCCTTCACTGCGTAGCCTCTCAATCCGCTGCTCCATGCTCTCTGTGACGAGTACTCGTCCCGAGCTGTTATCAGCAGACTTGGCACGAGATACGGCCGACGAAGAAGTCCGATCCCTCTCCTTCACAGGACTGAAGCTCCAGAAAGATGCCGAACGTCGGATACTCTTCGACACCCGGCGAGCGTGCTGCATCTCGGTTACTTCCTCAATCATGGCCCGGATTGTGGTGATGCTCGAGGTGATCTGGGTGTTAAGAGAGCGTATACTGCTGTTGTAGTTTGAGATATGGTTGGTGTACTCTGTGGGGTATGGAAGAATTCTCCGCCCTTCTTCCAAGCTAGAAATGGCTTCTGCAAAATGTGTCCCGTGTCGAGGCTCGGGAGAAGGGGTTCGAACGGGTCGTGGAGCAACTTTGAGAGGAACCTTGGAAGGTGGACGAGCAAGAGGAATCTTGCTTGTGCCGACACTGCTGGCTGCTGGGCGATTTGTCCAAGCATGTAAATCACTGGTCTTGCTTGCTTTCGGTGCATCACCACATGTGCCTGATATGCTAGAAATAGAAGCCCCGGAAGGTTTTCTGACATTCAAGGGAGAGGGAATCAAGTGGCTTTGACTGGCGCTTGTCGCTAGAATCCCTGTGCATAGCCCTTCTTGAAACTGCCTGTCTTGATCATCGCCATCGTGTGAGACAAAGGGATCCCCATCCACGCTGCCGTAGATGAGAGATCGTTCGATCATGTCCGCAAGGCTGCTTGCAAGGCTCGAGGGCCTAGTTCTCGATCCCGGGGAGTCAGAATACGAGGACGAATCCGAGGGGACTGAAGTAAACAAAGCCTCGGAAATGTGTGAGTAGCGCTCAGTGGTTGGGACTGGGCTCGGCAAGACAGCACTGCAGTTGGTGAAACAGTCTAGAGCAGAGTGCAGCAATGGGAGCTTGTTGCGAGAATAATTGTGAGCGGAAAGGCCCATTGCCTCATAGCAGATGGCGCTGTAGAAATAGAGGAACGTCTGGTAAACAGGATGGATCTGGAAGGATCGGTGTAAGCACTCGACTCACGCACACCTCCGGCTCGCTCGGGGTAATCATTTCGGATCTGGTCGACTCGCCTCCCAAGAGCTAGATACTTACTGGCTCTGGCGCGGTTATGAGCAGCTCCGAGACGCGCGCAGTGCACTGCTTGTATTGTCGCTGGGCATAGAGACGTTTTATGGCACGGAGGGCAACCTGCCATCCTGCAGGTGATTGAGGATAGATGGGAGGGCTGGATGGAGGAGAGTTGATGCTCTTCTCAGCCATGATGGGCGACACCATAGCCAGACCAGAAGAAGGAGGCGAGTTAGGAGCAGTTGAATTGCTGACTAGAAAGGTGGTTGCGAGGATATTGAGGTAAGCTTTGTATAGATGGGGCAGTCTCCACAATCACGTCTCTGACACGTCCAAGCGGGGCGTTCGTGTCGTTTTGGTGTCTGGCGTGTGAGCTGAAGGGTGTGCAATTATAAGAATAACTTTTGTCCTTCTTTGATGAGGTCATTTATGTGATGGGTAGAGGCTTTCCGGTGGATGGGGAAAGGATGAGGAGGGGATGACGCCTCACATGCCTGTAGTTCCGGCATGCCATGCCTTCCTGATTAGGAAGTGAATGTCAACCCAATCCACATCCCGAAATCTGACAGTGCATGTCGAACGTATGGCTAGCATTCCTATCCTTACCAGCTCGGTAAGTCCTCAGCCCTCTCAAACTATCTAGTCCTAGATGCCTACTCCGTCTGATGCTGCACGTAACCACCACTGATCTTTGCGATCGTGTCAGACTACTGCCCCATACCCTTTTGGCATGCGGATAACTCCGATCACATCGACAGGCCATGTACAAGTCCACTGACAGATGATTTCAAAGAAGTTCTCCTAACAAACATCATATAGGTATTCATTCACTGACATCCCGTCGGAAAAAAAGAAAGAAAGAGTACATCTAAAAATCAGTCTGATCCACGATCCCCTCCAGCTCCGCACAGATCGCCAACCTCTCCTCACAGGCCTTGCGGATGGCACTGATAGCATCCTTCCCAATAGGCAACCGCAAAGGCAATTGCTTGCCCTGCCATCGACCTGTCCCCTTAACCGCCTCAACAACCACTGCAGCTGCCTTCGCAGGATCGCCCGACTGATTGTGGTTCGAGGCCGCGCAACCAGCCGCCACCAGACGGTTCATTTCCGCATACTCCGGCAGCTGGCGGGGGGCCCGGTAATGAATGTTGCCGGGCGCCATCACCTCCGTGCGAAAGTAGCCGTAGGTGAGGAGCGATGTTCGGATGCCATAGGGCGCCAGCTCGAGGGCCAGGTTGGGGACGACGGTCTCCAGCAGACCCTTGCCACCCGTGTAGCTCGAAGCCCCCGGCGCACCGTAGTAAACTCCTACGGTGCTGGAGAAGAGCACGGTTCCGGATTGCCGGGCACGCATCAGAGGGAGAAAGGCGCGGGTCAGGTTGAGGGGACCCAAGGCATTAGTGCGAAGGGAGTTGATGAGAAACGACTCGCTAGAAGAGGGTAACATAGTCTTAGGTCTTTTGAACTGTCATGACGGATTTAGAAGTAGGTCAGGCGGGACAAACGTGATTTCTTCGAAAATTCCTGCATCGATATATCCTGCGTTGTTGACCAACACGTCCACTTTGCCAAAGATCCCCCAGATCTCGCGGGCCTTAGTGTCGAGTTCTTCTTGCGGTCTGCTTACATCTAGCTCGAACACAGCAGCGCCCGCGTCTTTCAGAGCCGAGAGACGGTCTCCACCGCTGACACCGTCGCGTGGGCGGGCAGTCGCGATGACTTGGTCACCCTGTTTAATGTGACCCTTCTGATTAGCATCCGCATAGCCGTATCGAGGAAGAGGACTGACTCACCTTGTCCAAGATCGCGCGAACCAAGGCCTCACCAATGCCGGAGGAGCAGCCGGTGACGACCCAGGTGAGAGGTTGTGGTTGTTGTTGATCGGACATTGTATGTGTATGCGTGTGTAGGATGAAAACATCTCCCAGAGGCGGGGAATAGAAAGGAAGATGTGAAGTGAGAGAAACGAAGAGTACGAAGAGGGGGAGACAGATGCAGTCAGCAGTCATAGAGATGAGAATGTCATCGTACACTAAGCAACTTAGTCTCGCGTAGTCTATGCACTAGTCACTGTATAGGTAGCTAGTGCCGAACTTAGCACCGATACCTAGAGAACCCTGCTCACTCGAGCCTATCATTGACAGCAAGCTTTCGCTTCACCTTATGAGCGGCCTCGGTGAAAATATCTCGAAACCTCTTTTTAGCATCCGATGGATCCTCTAATATGAGGTCATTCAGCCAAGAAAGGGCAGCATCAATCAGCTCGATGTCTAGTTCGACTTTTTTATGCCGAATGTTGTGGAGGCTGTTTGCTGTCAACAGCATTGTAGCAGAAATGTAAGGACAGGTTGTTATCCTGTTGTGGTTTTAGCGATCACGTACACACCTTCCGAAAAGGGAGTAGGAGTTGATACCATCGGAACCAACTGTCTCGCGACCAGATTTCCTGGAACAAGAGCACGAAGTCTCGAGCCTCGTGTATAAGTCCTTCCCAGCATGGCGGTATCTGTAGAGGGCTGATGCCTCGACTAAAATTGCGGACCCCTTTTATCCATTGCTCGTCCATCGCCTGAGCTCGGTTAATGAGCATCCTGCACTGCAGCCCGCTCGAGTGAAGCACACAGAAGAAGCCCAGACTCGCCGGCTTGCTTCTCGCGGTCAAGGTGACAACCGCGGCGCCGAATTCGAGCGGGATGGACGCTCTCCATTCATCTAATGCGACACTAATACTATCTCGCAGCAAGGTCCTTTCCAGCGGGCTCTGCTTTGAGGCTTGCGTCGAGTAGAGATACCTATAGATACGACCCTCGATGCTGGCGAGCTGAATCCGAGCAAAGAAATAACTCAGCTTGGCTTTCCCATCATCGGTGACAAGGGTGCCAGCAGTGTTGTCATTGTCATCCAGGGACACCGGCAAGGAAGAAGGCAAGTCCACGTCAATATCGTCATCGAGCTGCACGGGGGGGATTTCCGCCCGCAGGCTGAGATCTTTGTCGAGGATGTATGCGATCCAGAAAACGCGGGCGTGTTGTCTCCTGTGTACAAGGTCAAGATGCGCTGATGCAGCACGGTTATGTAGGCCCAACTTGTGTACAAGACGCATTGTGGCGGATAGCAACGTCAAAGCTGGAGTCGGGTCACGCGCCGTCTGGAGCACCATCACCATGCCTAGAAGTGTCTGTACATTCAATAGGGAAACATCTCCCGTCATCACCGCTGAGACAACCGATTGTGCGTTGCTGAGATATTCATTGGTGTGCTCAGTCTGACGTTGGAAGACACCCTCAATCATGCTACTGGGCCTGTGTTGGCTGGCCAGAGCGAAGACGGTATTGATAGCAGCCCAAACGAGTGGATCGCGTTGTCGCGGGTGGAGGGCATAACACTGCCCAACCATACGCAAGAGTGTGTCAGCATGGAAAAGCGGTAGAGCCGTGTTTACTGTGTTGAGAAAGATTCCAACCATTGCCATAGCCTCTGGCAGTGGAGGGAGCTTCATGGTGTCAATTGCATGGTTCGGATCCTTGGGCGATTGATCGTCAACCGGTGCTTCTCCTGTGATCGCCCTGAGCCGCTCGGCTTGATGAATTGCCCGACTTTGCGCCTTTGGCTGAGATGGGAAATTCGGCGTGGCGCGACGTTGTGCTCTCGGTCTCGCTTTACGGCGCAGAGCAATGTGTGTACATTCGGTTGCATAGTTGATGCAGTTGGAGCAGCGGGGCTCCTGCCCGTCGCACTTGATCTTGCGAGTATAACATAGGTCGCATGCCTGCTCGAAATACAGTTAAATGATGTTTTTTTTGGGACAAAACACGGCTTCCGAGTTAGTCCCGACCTTTCTTGGACGATTACTGGAGTCCATTGTAGCTTGTCGGAATTGTCTTCTCAGGAGATACTTGCACCTCCATGGAGCTGCTGCTTGGTAATTTAAGTACCCCCATTAACTCAGCTGCTTCCGCGGAAGCAGGCGGCCAGCTGACTAATTCTGCGGATTGGTAAGTTAACCCAGATAGTAACTTCTTCCCACCCAGGGCCATCACTCGTAGCCTTGAGAATACTTCTGTGTTCCAACTTGATTTCCTTAGTCTTAGATGCGGGGAATCCTGGTTCCGTGGAACCTGCCGGTATCCTACTGGGTACATCTCAACTGAGAGAACAAGTACAAAAACCTGACGAATGCGACAATCACTATGTATATTCCGGAGTGCATTCCGATTCACTTCTACCCATACAGCTGAACCCCTCTCCGACTCATTCATCATTCATTTCTTATCTTCGTACCTGTCATTCGTGTATCAGACGCCATTGCACGCTAGAAAAAAATGTCCGTCCCTGACACCTCCCGCATTATAGTGGTCATGGGAGCCACAGGCAACCAAGGAGGAGGGATCGTTCGTGCCCTGCTGGGCTCCCGGACACCGGATGGAGGTCTTTGGCACGTTCGAGGGATCACCCGAGATCCCAATTCGACAAAAGCGATGGAATTCCTGGCCAAGCACCAGACCATCGACCAACGCCTGTCGCTCGTCTCCGGGCGCGTCGATGACCAAACGTCCCTCCAAGCCGCCTTTGCAGGCGCATACGGCGTGTTTGCCATGACCTCCGAGACCCAAGCTGGCAGAATCCTGGACAAAGAAGAAGACCTGAAACATGAGGTTGAGGCAGGTCGTCGTATCGTCCTGGCAGCGGAGGAATGTGGTGTCAAGCACTTCGTCTTCAGTAGCTTGCCGGATATGGTCCGCGCAACCGAAGGTCGATACCCGAATATCCATCACATGAACAACAAGCATGAAGTCGAGAAATTCGCCAAGCAGAGGCTCGGCGCGGTGACTTGTCTCATCCCGGGTTCGTGATTCTGCAGCAGCAATTGCTGTGAGGGTCCACAGCTGCACACCTTTCACTGACAGTTGATTTGTTGCATAGGGTTCTTTTATACCAATTTGTATTGGCCTCACTACTGTGACCGTCAATGTAAGTTCAGTTTGAAATACTCAGTACTCGGTACAGATTTGACTTAAGGTGATAATTGCATAGCGGACGGTGTTGTTCGGTTTCGCATCCCTATCCCCAGCGGCCAGGTTGCGCAGTGGACTGATCCGATCCATGACATGGGTATATTTGCATCCAGTAAGTTTCTGTCCCCGAAAATACACAGTGTCGAGCTTCCGAGACGCATTGAAGTACGACTGAATTGTTAACTTGTTCGGTTAGGGGTATTCGAGCTGGGTGCTGAGAAAACCCGCGAGAAGACGTACCTTGTGCTAAGCTCTCGAGTCACCCCTGTTGAGATGATAGAGACGTTCATAAAGGTCACTGGTCAGCCCGCAATTCATGATCCAATAACCGCAGAGGAATTCGGAGAGAAGACAGCTCCGTTCGTTGGGCCGGCCTTTAAGAAAGATGCCACCGAGATGATGGAATGGGCTGCCATACTGCCAGCGGACAAGATCTGTTACGGGGCCTTCGCTGAGCATGAGGACCACTCCTTTGAGGAATTGGGGTTAAAGGCATCCTCTTTTGAGGAATGGCTGCACCGCAGTGGCTGGACGGGTCCAGCATGAGGAATTAGGAAGAGGAATATAGGCTTATCTGAATCTGGGAGTTCACTCAATCCAAGTTGCGTTCACAGGCCAGAACAACTGCTTGACGGGATTAGATTAAACCTGTACTATTTACTGGACACTGTTGCCGACCACAGTAGCCAAGATTCGGCTAGAGATATGTTAGGATTCGGCCAGAACTAGAGTAAGCCCAGGATATCGTGGCAAAAGTTGCGTTCCTCGCGGAGTTGTTGTTTTGTCATCGACTAAATGAGCAAAGGCTGATCAGCTTATCGCAAGCCTATAGAGACAGCTTTCGTTGTAATCACATGAAAGCGATGTCAATTTCTTCTTCTTTCACTCCTTGCAAAAGCTCTCCCCAACATACCAATTATTTAGACGAGCCAGCGGCATGCCCTTGAACGACCCAGCATCAGATCACCGATTATCGTCCGTGGCACTAGCCTCGCCTCTTCTTCAGAGTCTTATGAATGAGTCTTCCAGAAGTGGACAAATAGCAAGGTATCGAGCAAAGGTCGTTCCAGGTAGTAGTTTGAGCATCTTGTTACATGTGCAAGTGACGATCCCACTCGCCATTCGCTATAGAAGCAGAAGTAGAAGTATTCTATGGATGATAGTCGAACCTACCTGCAGTCTCTCCCGGGCGGCGATATACTCTCGACTACGCACTAGCCTTGTTGACCCGCCATACCACAATCAATAAATTTTTCGGAGTTGACTCAAAGCTCGGGCTTGAGTGACAAGAAGCCTATCCAGCTCTATTCGGGGGTCTTTTCAACAGCCGGGGATTTCTTCTAATTTGAGAATGGCGAATAGCCTAGCTCGCATTGAGTCGTCACAAATCAAGAGAATCCTCATTTCAAATAGAACAACTAACAATGCTAAGACTCAATCCATAGACCACTGCCCTTCCAAACGTGGAAAGAAACCACGAGAAAAGAAGGATAATGGAAGAGCAGCCCTAAAAGGACGTCTCGCACATACACGACGGATACATGGCCTCTCATGATAAGAAGAATGTTCTGGGTCCGCACTCATACGATGCCCAAGCCCAAGCCCAAAGAGTCCAAATCAGCCTGAACCAAGTCCACAATCAGACCTCCGCGTCCCGCTTCATGCCCTCCTGAATCCAAGCCCCAGCAGCGCGGCCCTTTGCATTCAACTCCTCGTCCGACAGCTTATTGAGCTCCAGATAAATGTGCGGCCCGGGGGCATTCCGCCCCTCCTCAAAGCCGGGCCGCTTCAACAGTTCGAAGAGCCATTTCTGAACATGCGGAAACTCGTCGATGCTGGACAGGCCACTATATTCTGTCCGACTGTCAGTGTTCTGTGTTGAAGACGGGGAGGGGGTGCATTCACGTACTGTAAGCAGCCACCCAGTTCCACAGAGCGATATCCGCCACCGTGACCCGGTCACCGACCACGTAGCCGGATTCACTTTTGGCCAGGTGGCCGTCCAGAACGCGATACAAGCGGCGGGTTTCGTTCACGTAGCGGCCGATGGCGTACTCGTGCTTCTCGGGTGCCATTCCTAGACAACCAACCAGGTTAGGCACGTCTCCTGTAATCAAATGCAAGCATTTGTCTTGTCTTACTCGCGAAGTGGTTGGCTTGGCCTTGCATCGGGCCCACGCCTCCCATCTGCCACATCAGCTATGTGTCTGTCAGTTTCGAACCGATGGAAAATCTTCGTGGCGGCTGAACGCGGGAATTGCAACACTGACCCAGTTGACGGTCTCCCAGTACTCGGGAGAGTCATAGGGGTATGAGACCTTGTGGTCTTTGTCGTACCGGGCCACAAGATACAGCAGCATGCTGCCGCTCTCGAAAAGCGTGATCTTGTTACCATTCTCGTCCTCGTCGACTAGGGCAGGGATCCGACCATTGGGGTTGATCTCGAGAAACCATGGCTCTTTTTGCTCGTGCTTGGGGATGTTGATTGGGTGAAGCTTTTGCGGAGGTTAGTTGACATTGTCTCTTTGGATTGAACGTTAATAGATTCAAATTCAGAGATGCTGTACCTACCTTGTATTCCAAACCCAGCTCAGCTAGTAGAATGGTGGGTTTCAGACCGTTAGGAGTGCCCTCGGTATAGAGGGTGATACCGGTTTTGATTCCCATATTTCAGCTCTCTGACTAGAAATGTTCAGGTGGTGATGTCGACGGGTGAGAATGCAAGACAAGGAGAAGACAACTGTTGGGAATGGTAGAGAGGGAGGAATAAAACTCGAAGACTCCCACGACGCCTATATATAAGTCCAAAAGATCTTTTGTTGTTTATTTGCTCCGTACTCTCGTAATCTTCGTAGGGGTTCTTCTGGTCGGATGACATTTCCAGGGATGCTGACGCATCTCGGCTTCCGAACTCATCTCATCTTTGTGATTGTTAAGCCCGCGATGGCGATATCTCATCACCGAGGAAACTAACTTACTGGTAAGTTGCAAGGCAAAAGCCAAGAGTGCTACACCTATACAATGGTTGTGTTGTGACTAACTAAGCAAAGCGGCTTTTTGTCAGCGGAAGCTCCGTCGGAACCACAGCCCTAATTCCACGGAACATGGAGTCTAGGGCGCCCGGAGCATGACGGTGCCGTCAGTTTGTAATACGCCAACCTGGGCGTTTCTGTATTCTTGATCTACAGTGCCAGGTTTATTAAGAGTATATCACCAGTGAATTTCTCATATGCTGGATAGTTATAAATGTGGCAGTGTTATGAGCATCAGTAGTAGGCTGCATTTGTATAATGTCTTGTGCATGCACACAACTAGTAAAGCGGGAGGATGAACTGAGAAAGGGCGTTCAACAGAAAGTTCTGATATTGAGCGCAGCAGAGATCTGGTTAGGACAGAGAGCCTGACAGGCGAGTTGTGGTAGATGCTGCTGCTACTTGGGTTGATAGTAATCGGACGGTCGCCAATGTGAGTGTCTGACTGGAAGACCTCCACTGTGAGGCGCTGAGCCAGCATTCCCCGGCAGGTTATCGTGTGTTTGAGAAGGGGAAAGATCAATCATTTCATCTCGAGCCTACTACTTTCGATAGCTTGCGTCAAACCACGAAAGGATAAATAGCCATAAGTTGCTGTGAGTTGGCGAGTGCATCCATGCCTACTAGTGTTTGGTTCGTGCTGATTCAAGATTTCTTTGTTGCTTAGTGCTTACTTCGTAGGTACTGTGCTTGAAATACACTTATACATGATAGTTACCTGGTAGTGCTATTGGATAGTAGTATAGATGGCCTACCTCAACGAAGCGGACTTGAACACTCCGCATTGGCAGGCGGCGTTCTACGGGGCGCCGTACGCTCGCCTCTGCGCCGTCAAGGAGAACTACGATCCCGACGGGATCTTCTACGACTGCACGGCGGTGGGGAGCGAGGCGTGGGTCGAGCAGATGGATAGGCGGTTGTGTCGGGCTGCTTGAATTCCCTTTTTCTTTCGTTCTACCGAGTGAGTTTTCTCAAGAAGACCCTAAACCATTAACTAACACCCGGCATCTTGTAGCTCTTCCCGGGAGTATTCTTCTATAAGGCTTGCAACAGCAGATAAAGGAAGGCAGCCTTGCCCTAGTACGTACATCCAGGATACAGACAAGGGGTACAGCGCAAGCCAATCAAGCATATAACCGATCCAGGCCTGGCGCCATCACGTCCAAGGAACTAAACGAACAATGTGCAAATCTTTCCATCGTCCCATACCGGGCGGCAGTAGCAGCCCCCGTCTCCCCCCTACCCTCCATAAACCTCTCTTGGACTCGCCTCTTGTCATTCTGTGCAGGACCTAGCTCAGGACCTTTTGGAATCTCACCCCACATCACCGTCTTTTCGGCCGCGCCCTCACCATCCTCCGGTGGATGGCACAGTGCGGACAAAACCATACTACAACCCCCGGCTAGCGGCATTCCGCTCTCAAACCGCCGGAACCCGAGCCCTACAACCACCAAGAGCCCCGCAACAGCGACCCAAATCGTGATGAAGATCGCTAACGGGGAGTAGCAGCATCCCCGCGCCTCATCCATTACGTATCGCTGGGAGATATCGACCCGCCGGATGTGAACAAAAAAGAAGCTCTGGGATAGAAGCCAGTGAAGCGAAGCGGATGCCGTCAGCAGCGGGAGGCTGTACCGGTAAGGCAGAGTCAGGTAGTAGGTCGATCGTTGTTGGCCCTTGGGCCAGGAACAGCGGAGTGAGCGGCGTCGCGTGGCGTACCGCTGGAGCTCAGCGTCAAGGAGCATGCAGGTCAAGACGCCGTTGGTCACAAAGTATAGGATGGACAAGCCGAGCTGGGGAGTGTTGGCTAACAGTACAAGGGCGAGGATGTTTGTGGTGTTCGTGTTGGCTAGATAGGATTCCGAGTACTTGCTGAAGCCGATGGACATGGCCTCGTGGAAGGTATCGGAACCGATGCCGTGGAAGAGAAGGGCAAAGCTCACTGCGATGCATGATATGTAGCTAGGAGTTGGGTTAGTGGGATTGACAGGTGTAGATGGGGCTTCTGTAGGGAAGGCTCGTCGGGGTTGACAACGACTAACCAGAATAAGGCTATTACCCTGCGAGGCCAGCTGACAGCTTGATACCATCTCTGTCGCGGAGTAACCTCTCTTGGGCGAAGTTCAGTGGTTGTCTGCGGCGCGGATGATGATATTAATATGTTGTCTATCGGGTAATTCAAGGATCCTGGGCTCCGGCCGAGACCTAGACTAGGAGCTGGGCTGGAGCTACGGCTTGAGCTCTGTGCTTGCACCCAGTACCCTGTTTCATGACCGGGAGTGAGTGCAGAGCAGCCCCAGAATTGCAGTCCTTGAGCCACCTCTGCGCGAGAGAGCAAGCATCGACCCCGAGTTGTTGGATCAGGTCGGGTGAGGAACGAGGCCAGCGCGTCGCCTGTAGTCAAAAGTAGAATTCTACGCCTGGCTCCGACTGCTATCATCATGCAGCTCAGTTTGATCGCATTACAAATTATGACAACGATTGCAATCGGTGGGCTGAAGAGCAGCTGACAGCGCTGTCGGCTTTCATCCATAAGACAGTGCGAAACAGGGACCTGTGGATATATTCCAAGCTCCAAGTCGCCTTCTTCGAAGAACTCGAATGTCGTTGCGGCTGCCCAGGAGCTGTTCTGCCAGTGTGAGGGGGTGTCTAAGTACTCGCGCAGAGCCTCCTGAGTCGGATTGTATTGCGAATTGTAACTTAGCAGACCCATCACGTCAGCCTGCAACGCAGTGCTTGCGTTACTTTTGTCGTAGGGGTTCCACAGACTTTGGAAAGAGTCATCGGCAAAGTTGAACTGGTATGGATGCCCGCTCGCGACAGTTGTGTAGTTCCACACGCGATAGCTCCAATAGACTGGTTCCACAGGGTAGTAGTTCTCGGAGGAAGGGTTTTGTCCCCCGTCTACCCACAGACTGCTCGTATTGTGAAAGTACTTCCTGTCAACCACATAGACAAGTGTATTGTATAATGTCTCATCGGCCCGCTTGGTCCAACAATCCTTGTCTGTCAGATTGGTGAAAGTTCCATCGAAGATCCGCTGTTGCATAATCGCCGGATCGAGGCCAACTCTGGCCCGGAATCTCTCGCGGCTCGCCGCGTCGTTGACCAAAGACTCGTTCGACGAGAGGTCGTGCGGGATCAAGAGCTTCCCGGAGTCGAGCTCCGCAATGGATGAGTAGATGACCGAGTTGTATATCATATGGATCGGAGTGGAACTGAGCAGCAGTAGCCCCCACAGAACTTTTCGTTTGGGACCCATTATCGCAAAATTGCGAAAACTAAAGGTCCCTATATTCAGCCAGCGCGAGCGCGCGTGGGCCCGGTCGATATCCGAGCGAGAGGGCGCACCTAGGCACTGTATAACATAGCTGCTGGCCCCAAGTAAAATCGTTCCGAAGACGTTGATCACTACATGTATGCCCGTCGCGGAGCGATTTGCCAGGGAGCAATTCCCCGTGAAGAGCTCGACCGTCTGAAATTGACCGTGGTTGCTCGACTGGCGATAGGCGAAGATGAGTGCCACAATCAACATGATGGAATTGACGGCCAGGATTGTCGCAGTGATCCAGGAGCAGATGACGGCTCCCTTGAGCCACTCTCGTCCTTCTCGTCCTTCTCGGCCTTCATTGGGGTCTTGTGAAAGACCGTGAGGGAGCCAGGTCTTCCATCGTGGCTGCTTTTGTTGCTGTGTGTTGTTTGATAATAACGGAATAGTCGTATAACGGAATTGACCCCACCAGGTAGAAAGAAGCCCGGGGGCCCCTTCCACGGGTTTGTCGTTCCCGGCACTCATAGTATGATAGTCAACGAGGGTCGCTTGTGTTCATAAGCAAGGATGAGAACAATTGAGCGTGAGAGAGACGGGGTGGTGACGGATTCAGCGGCGCCGACCTCGCCATTTTGCCGTGGGCCGAGCGGGTTACTTTAGGTACTTTTAGTGAGTCTGACTGCATGGCGCTAGACAAAGACAAGACCTCATGTCAAATTACTGACTGCAAAACATTCAACTAAAGGACTTCAATGGACCATTTCCGTCCAATCTCATATCAAGAACGCCGAGACTCAGCCCATCTTACTTTAAATTGGTAAGGTAATCTCAGCCGCAGCATCATTATGCTACCACTCAATTGGCCGCTGCGTCTGCTCTTTGACCAGGCTAATCCCCTTACATGATGTCTACTTTTTCAGGACCATACAATTGTTTGTACTGATTCTTTTCCTCAAAGCCTAAAGAATGGTAGCCGCAACATTCATAGATTCATCGAGATCAAGCCATGCACTCGGGCGATTGAGATCTGATTCCCCAGCATATACAGCTACAGCATATCATAGGTCAATCTGGTGTTGGTAATAGAACCAACCATACATTAACCCACAGAACAAGGTTGCTTCTAGACTCGGCACCAAAGCCCGTCTCACCCGTGGGCCGTGCACCTCATCTCAGCCACCCATCCGTCCAGCCTCTCTACTCAGATCGGGATCTTACACTATCAATTATACCAGCAGGGAATCTAGATTTGGATATCACGTGTGAATTGCATTCTCTCTATAAGTACAGGCCCGTAAATGCAAGATCATTCGTTCGTGAAATTCATGAGTTCCATCATTCTCACTCCGTCGCGTCAAATACATGCATGAGCCAGCATACCCGAATTTTCGGCATACGGTTCCAAAAAAACGTTTTTTCTCCAATGCACCACCTGTTGATTTTATTTTCGTAACTTCAAGTAAGGGAGCGAAAAAGAAAATTCGGTCTTGGGTTTCGGGGTTGTCTCGTGTCGTGTCTCGCGGGCGGTCGCCGTCTGAAAGATAATGTCCCTCACTCAGAATGTTCCGGGGTCGAGACCATGTCGGAATTGACCTCCGCCTCGGGTCCAACCGTGGTCTGGGAGATTGCACGTCCGGTGGCGTTGAGAGCATGCAGGAAGCCATCGAGCATTCGGTCCAGTTCCTCTTTGATGGCGTGGTCACCGACACCTTCCGTCAGGGCATCAAGGCGGGGGAGAGGAACGTCCGGGAAACGAACGGGCTCGGTGTCTTCGGTGGATAGGATGGGGAGGTTGCGTCTGGCGGTGGGGAGCGGCTCGGAGGTGGGGGAGTCCGTGGTAGAGGGGAAGGGGGCGAGCTCGAGGTCTTTGACGGGAATGGCGGTGGGGAATGGCTCCGAGTGGGAGTGCTGTTGCTCGGGATTTTCATGCCAGGCAGAAGTCGATTCTTCTTCTTCATCGGGTCCCGGGCCATCAAAGACATCCGTTTCTTCGTCTTCGTCGAATGACATTGTGGGGAAGTCCGACTCGTCAAACGTCTTAGGCTCCGCAGCAGCTGGAGCGCCAGGCGGGGTGGAGGGACGGTCGAAGCGGAATGGATCATAATCGGTTTCGGAGCTCGCAGACACGTTGGAATCAATGGATCGCGAGGTGGAAGGCCGGGAATCACCGGGCTCCCCGATGCTCGAGCGTCGAATGGTGTCCGAGGTCTGCAGACTCATGATGGGCGCTTTCAGAGTGTTGTTGCGGGTCACGTCGGCATCGCTTTCGTGGCTCACGGGGTCATCGTCGGCTGGAGCAGTCATGACTGGGAATGTCCACTCCATTGTAGCGCGCTTCTCTGAGGTGTCTAGCTCAGCTGGCTTCGGCGCCTGCGCGGGCTCGGGCGCGGGCGCGGGCGCGGGCTCAGGCTCCTCCTCTGTCGCAGGTTGCATGAAGACAGGGAACTTCCAATCCATGGTCGGAGGTCGTGGGCCGGTTGATGGCTGGAATGGCACATCGTCAGCGTCACGAGTGCTGCTCACGCCACTACTGGAAGATCGAGAGCGACCATCAGTGGAGTTGCGCTGTTGACGACCGCTGGATCTATTGGCGCGAATGGTATCGGCGTCTGCGAGCTGGAAGGGCTGCGCAGATGACGCTCCAGCCGCATAATGCGACGAGTCAAAGGATCCGATGTCAATGTCGATGAAGGTAGAGGTGACGGAAGAGCGATCGGTCTCTGTACGCAGGGGGAGGTCGGATGCGGGGGGTTTGGGTTCAATAGGAACGAAGTCATTCTTTGTCTCATAAGTATAGCTTGGCTTTTCTTCATTGAAAAGACCTTCCATGGCTTCGGCACCACGACGAACCCGCTCATCGAAGTTCGCTTTGTCTTCAATTGTCATTTCCTGACCGCTCGGTTCATCAGGGATGTCTGACATGGATTGAGGTTTCGTGGTCGGGCTGATTTCTGCCTCCAATTCAGCGATAGAGGCCGCCAGCTGATCGAGATCGATGACAGAGAAGCGACGCTCAAAACCATCAGTGGTACTGAAATTCCAGTCCTCGTCACTAGGCTCGGAATCTGGCATCTCTGCAGCGGCAGCACCGCCAGGGTGAAACAGCGAGATACGTTGTCCACCCCGCTGAGACCACTGATAGTACATGCGAACAAGCTCACTCAGGGACGAAGTGGGGTGGGTTTCCTCGGTATCAGCGATGTATGGATGGGTCAGAATGTCTACCATTGCAGGTCGAGAGACGGGGTTTGATTCCAGGGCAAAGGATACGAGACTCTTCAGGCCGTCACTGTACTTCGAATTGTCTAGCTTGGGGGTGCTGCGATTCAGCTGTCTCCCGATCTGCATGCGTTCTCGGAGGTTCGAGTTGGGAGGATTGCCCGTGGCGATCTCGAAAATCGTGCATCCGTACGCCCACACATCGATCTAGACCAGTCAGCAATGATACTGTCTATGCGAAACACGTGTCACTTACCTCACTTCCGTACTGGTGAGCTTCGCCGCGGGTCGAGAACATCTCTGGTGGCATCCAATGAGGGGTTCCGATCCAGGTCGAGCGTTTGTCCAACTGAGACTGAAGGACGCCAGCAACACCAAAGTCGCAGATCTGGAGTTTTCCTTCTTCGTGAATCAGGACGTTTGCGGCTAGGAAAAGAATGTCAGTAGAGACTCTCAAAGAGGGCTTGGTCCAAGTGATCTCATACCTTTGATGTCTCGATGTATGATGCCAGCATTGTGGATGGCACGGAGACCAGCAGCTAGTTCACGTGCAATAGGGATAATGAATTTTTCTTCCAAGCGGTCGTTAGTGGCTCGCATCTAAGAGGAGAAATCGTCAGTGATCAGTTGCAAAGAATGCTAGGAAATGTGGAAGAGAGACGAGACAAAGTGCTAATGTTGGAACATCAGACCGAGTAAAAATCAACGGAAACTTACCAGGGTTCTAACACTGCCACCAGGGCAATATTCGCAAACCAGCCACAGCTGCGAATGAATAGAGATAGCCTCGATGAGTTCATTAATGTTCTTCGCGCCAGATTCTTTGACCTGCTTCATCACTTTCGTTTCACGGATGAAATCGTTGATTGATTCGTCTCGAAAGTCCCGCAGAGATTTGTAGTCGATTGAGTCGATGTCCAAAACCTTGATCGCGACGAGCTTGCGGGAGGGAAGCTGGTGACCTTTGTAAACTCGACCATATGAGCCTTTGCCAATCAGTTCCTCGAACTCGTAGGCAGGAACATCCGATTTCGCTCTCCGGCACATCTCTTGGACTGCAGAGCTCTGCTCACGAGCGAGCTTGATCGCTTCAGCCTTATGCTTGGTGATAGCCGCCATGGCGGGGTCGAGGAGACGAGAAACACGGGGTGGATTCATTTTGTCGAGCGGGGAATGAGGTGCAGGAGTGTCGGTTTTATTCTTAGGGGTGATTCGGAGCGGTGCCGGGACAAGAGAGTCGTCGAATGAAGATGTGTCACCCGATGTGTCAGGTCTGCTCTCTGGGGAAGGGTGCGGAGTAGAAGTAGAATGAGGGGGTTTTGTCGGTGTGGAAGTAGAATGAGAGATTGAACTTGACAAGATGGAGGTGAGGTAGATAATGTTGTCAGGCGACGCACTTCTTGGTGATGCTGGAGTACCCTCGACGGGTGCCTGAGGCTTCGATAAGTGTGGGTCTCCTGCTGGCCGAACAATCTCAGGACAGAGCAGGCACCGTATTGCAGGCCCACCACTCGATTCACGGGAGTGAGAGTTGCTTGGTGGTGTCTGGCCTGTGCTTCCAGGTGTGTTTTGACCGGAGAATAGTGGATTATTGGACAACAAGTACTCTTCTGCCGACGTCAAATGTTCTTCTTCGATAGCGTCGCTGTCGCCTTGGCTTTTTCTCGAATGGAGATGGAAGAATTTCTTGAGAGATGGTCGCTTAGGAGTACTGCCTTCGGGAGAATGATCTTTTGCAGGCTGGGAGTCCTGTGTCGAGATTGCCTGCGCTTCTTCAATACGTAATTTAGCGTCTCGAAGTGCAAGCCGCTCGATGAGTGGCAAGTTCTTCGAGTTTTTCTTGCGCTTGTCCTTCCGTGAGACGCCGGTCTGCTCTCCAGAGCTTGGCTTTCGATGGCTGGGAGTCCCACTACCTCCAGACCCTGTCGAACCCTTGGAGCCCTTGGAGCCCTTCGAATCCTTCGAACCTGTCTGTCTTTTGTGGAACCACTTGAATCGCCTCGAGGCTTTCTGTTCCTCTTCTGTGGGCGGTTCTAGTGGCGGAGTCTGGTTGACCGCGTAAGGTTTCGGGTCCCTGGCCCCGTCATGTTAGTGTTGAAATCTAGTTATAATAATATAGTCGAAAGCGTCTGAACGTACTTTTCACCCTCTGAGTCTGAACTGGACTCGCTTAGTAGAACTGCAATCTCATTAGCTAACCACCGCAGGCTAATTTGTGATGAATGACTGACAGCTGGTCTCAGGTTCTGGGTTGTCCCCTCCGGTCTTGTCTTGGCTTTCGTGCCTTCCTTGGTATCTTCCAACAGTAGTCTGTTGGACCTCTGTTGGATATTCGAGCGCGAGATCGGGCGACGCTCTATCGATAGGCAAAGAGTGTTAGCACGCTTTCGACGAGATAACGAACGATGACTGCAAACCCGTAGATGCCTCTACGTCGCTCTGAGAGCCCGGACTCAGCCATGGTCAACCCGCAATGCTGGTAGAGGTAGGATGGAGGTCTTGGTTCAGGAGAGTAGAGAAGCAGAACGGATAGGTAGTGGAGATGGAATCATCAAATGATGAAGATGAACGATGATGATTCCAAAGGATGGTGTTGATATATGGAGAGGTTGATGACAGAGGGAGGTTTGGTGACGAGGAGAGAGTAGAGGAGAAGAAGAAGAAGAGGAAGAAGAGAAGGAACCAGGCTCGAAGGAAGTCGAGCCAGGAGGGTATACGATTCATCCTCGCGGTCACACACCTTGTAGCTTAGTCAATTGACTGATCCAGAGGCAGTTGTATCGCCTGTCGGTGGTGTATGTGCCCAGTCGTCAAGTCTCCAAAACGAGCACGGCGAAGACTTCGGTGTAGCGACACGAATTCGAGCTCCACGCCCAGTTTTCAGTCAATTTTTGTCGGAGAAAAGAACGTATACTATGTTCATATTAGTCTCTATCCATATCTATACTTCATTTTGCAATTGAGGGTTGACAGAACGGTCTGTAAACTTGTAGATACTCACCGTCGTTGATACTCCTTTTGTGTTGATATATGCCTGTATATCGGCAGCTGCCACGCGTGATATGTGTAGACGGGAGCGCTAGTCCCAAAGGCTTTAGTGTTGTTTCAAACTGAGAAAAACCGCTCCGGCCCGGATGTCAACAGTGAATAAATGCACTGGAACAACAGCCTGCTGATCGATATCCCCAGCTTCCGCCAGTGAGTGGCTGGATAGAAACCGGTAGAAGATTCGAGTAGATTCGACTAGATCGAACCAAGAATCACCGAGAGTCGATACTAGGTAGGACGCAAGGGCCTCTCAAAGCACACCTTGTGGGTTCGTGCTGAGTTGGCACAATGTACAGTGATATGCTGATCTATAGCCAAGTTAGTTCTGTATTCCATACCTACGGCATAAGAAACAGGACAGCGCAAATATCTTGCAAGCTTCGACAAGCTATAGATCATTCATCTATGATAAAGTAACCTTACAGACTCAAATCCCAGCTGAGGAGCTTGCTGGCATGGGGTTGTACAGTGTCACGTGATGAATGAGAACACAGCAGTAACAGAGCGCTTGAATTGTGCTTGACCTGGGCCAGGGAACCCCGACAAAGCAAAACAAATAGCACGTATAGGGGATATGCTCTTCCACAGGAGGCTTGAGGTCGAACTTACCAACAAGTAGCTCCCTAGTAAACCAATCCAGCTGGCTAACAAAGGGGTGAGGATACAACGAGTCCAAGATCAAGCGTAGAGATGACAGGAAAACAGACGATGAAAAAGAAACACTAGGGGTATCAATGCTGTAAGACTCAGTCTAAGATTATAAATTGTCAAAATAGCTCGCCATTATCTCACCATGGACCGGATTTCCGACATGTAACGCGTTATCAGGGTTGAACAACGTTCGATTAAAGTTCCTAATCAATCGTTCGACTTGTGGATCAGGGGCGGAAAATTGTTTTTACGCGGCTATGCTTCTCGCTTGGGCTACGAATTCAGATCCGGACCGACCACATCGTGCTGCAGTAAGCACATGCAAGTAATAGTCATGAAGTGATGGTAGATTGCGTTTAAGATGTCTGTCTAGCTCTAGCTTTGAGATTATTAGGAAGCCAAGATCGTAAAAAAAGGCATGTCAAGTGCCTAGAGCACCGGAGTACCTCCGCCCCCGTCGCCTACATGCTAAACCTCTTCTCATATGTACTTATCCAACCAGGGTATCAAAAAGAAGTTACACGTCTAAAGATCAAATTGCACCCGGAGAGCGTTGCCGAAACGTCGGATGGCTTCATCGATGTTCTCAAAACTGGCGGCAGCGAAAGTTGCGCGGAAGAACATCTTGCCCTCGCCAACTTCAGTGGCCATGAACCAGCTACCTCTGGAAACAAGGACCTCGTTGTCAACAGCAGCAAGGAAGATCTCTTCTTCAATCTGATTACGAGTCTTGCCTGCCGCAAGGCCGGGATGCTTTTGCCAATCAATGCCAATCCAGTGCTAGAAAACTGATCAGCTTGTCGAAATCCACTCATTATAAGGTATTTGAGCACTTACAAACATGCCCGCTGCGGGTGCAACCCAGCTCGCAATTTCCTGTGGGAGGTGCTTCTCACAAGCAACTACCAAGGTATCCCTGCGACCGGTATATTGCATACGAAGGTTGATCAGCCAGTCAAGGTACCCAGCATGACCCCAATGCTCGTCCAGAAGCTTGAAGAGAAGAATCTGCGAGATACCGCTCGGGTTCTGGGCAGTAGTCTCACTGTGACGAATATAGCGCTCGATGAACTGCTCCGGAGCAACCAGCCATCCGGCACGCGATCCAGGAGTGAGAACCTTAGAGAAGGATTCAATCCGGCAAACGCGGCCATCAGTATCCAAGCTCAGATATGAAGGGACAAGCGATTTAATGAATTCAGCGTGATTGGCCGGGGGCGGTGCAGGAGTGCCGTCGGCGCCGGTGTAGGGCTGCATCTGCAGGAAGTAGTACGGCTCGTCTTCCACAATGAAGATGTCATGCTTCTGAGCGACCTCGTACACAGCCTTACGCCTCTCAGTCCACTGAGTTGCACCCGTGGGGTTTTGTCCCGTCGGGATAGTGTACAGTACGCGGGGCTTGCGGCCACCGCGAGTTGCCTCATCCCAGTTGCTGAGAGTTTCGTCAAGTGCCTCGGGCAGAAGACCCTGTTCGTCCATCTTGATCCCGACTACCTTGAGGCCGAGAGGAAGCGCGGTTTCCTTGGCACTCGAGAAAGTGTATTCTTCCATCATGATGTAGTCACCTCTGTTGCAGAGAATGCGGAGGATAGCATCCCAGGCGAAGGTACCGCCAGGCGTCAGACAGCATTGCCAATCGGAGTAAGGGGGGTTGTGGATAAGCTAAACGCCAAGCATCAGTCATGAACAGAGCTTCTAGCAGTGTGCTTTGCCTGTCAGTGACATACCTCTGTGTGTTCCGTGACGAACCGCAGCAATTGCGGGGAGCCCGTGGCCTGGCCGTAATTAAGCGCAACCTCCAAGTCTGATGAAAACAGTCTCAGCCATTGAATAAGCTTCTCAAGAGGAAAGCGGTCATTTAACACTCACCGTATAGACTTGTTCCGTCACGCGTGTCTCCCTTCTTTGCAGTCAAAACGGCACCGGATTTGCTGCGTTCTTCGGGAGAGAAGCCAGGAGGGGTCGGAACCTTCACGGAGAGTTCATCGAAGGGGAAATATTCAGGAGAGGGAAGACCGCCACCGAGGGAAATCAAGCCCGGGTTCTTGAGATACTGCGCCGCACCCTTTAATGTTGAGGTCTAGAGATATCCAACGAGTACAAGTTAGCTTCGAAATAAGCAGCCGAGCCAGTGGGGTTTGACGGACGAACCTTCCGAGCCTTTGCCTCGATGGAGAAGATATCTGGGAACAAATCAGGATTCAGTCCGAGGAACATAGTGGCGGATACTAACCATCCCAGCGTTTGGCTTGTGGCTTGGTATAGCAGTGCTGATAATAGTAGATGAGGGGTTAGTTCCGTGCGCCATCAGCAAAGCCAGAAAATGGACGTACTGGGCTTTTGAAGAGGTCACTATGGGTCGCAGGCGCAACGCCCAAGGGAATCTTTGCGCTCTTTGCTCTGAGGGCCGGGATGGCGTCGACTGTCAATGGTCCGGCAGCGGAAGCCGAGCCCGAGTCAACGGCCGCGGGGCTCATGGTCGAATTGGAAGCTGGAAAAGATAGGTTGTAAGTGGGTGGTATTGTTGTATGTTTCGCACTTTGTGTCGGAAAAGTGCAGAAAGAACAGTGTGAAGGGAAAGAGATGTTGCAACACCGGAAGATGAGTGGGAAAGAAGTGAGAATAAAGAGAAGGAAAGGAAATCGAGTCACACACTCCGACAGCTGCCCGTCCGCTTTTTGCTCCGCTTTGGACCAGCTCGGGCGGACCGGTTCCGCCGGCAAGCGTCGCGCACTGCAACGGCGATTTGTCCACGATAGCAATCTGCGCTGCAGGACTGAGTACAGCAGCTTCCCCTGGCAATTGTGATTGGCAAGTGAGGGTGATATCTCAGGAGCAAGTGGATCAATCGTATTGACCCTAGAAGGCATGGTAAAATCTTTCTATCGAATTGCGAATGCTGTCATCGGTAAGGCGTGGCGGGGTATTGTATGTACTGTATGTAATCCAAATACCGCTCTCCATACATGTTCGAGTTATTTCCGACAGATACGGATTTGATGCCTTTCCCCGCATCTGCGAAAACCTGGGGTAATCACGAATCATTGCATCATGTGCAGTCCCTTCACTGAATCCCTGCGAATCTGGATCTTCAAGCAGGGATCTCCCAAGGATAGAACGTGACGACAATTGGAGGGGGAAAGTTGAGAAGTGGTAATGGTGCATATCGGCGGTATGACAGCCCCACGCCTAGATAAGGCTATCGCCGGCATCGGAGCGAGGCTTATCGGAGATCCGATCAGCCATCAACCAACAACCAAAGAGGTCAGTGCAGTGCAGTGCCCATGGTATCATATCGCTGCCAAATGGGTCAAATGAGGAACTATAACCGAGAAACTTTCAATGCACAGTACCCTTGTTGCGTAAATATGACAATATGATTTGATTTGTAATGGGAAACCCTGTGCATTCACCTAGTCTTACAGTAGTCACAGGCGCAACTTCATTAGTGTACTGTACAGTACGTGGGGTTTCTATACTGTATCGGTGGCCTGGTCGTTCGCGACCCGGAAGAGCCTCGCAGAGAAGACCGTGATTCCTCGGATATAAGATTCGAATCACTCGATCAATCTAATAACTAATACTGTCCTTGTTTGAGAGTGGTCCTACTGAGTCCAAGTAGGTATGAGTGAGTGAACGTCTGATTAGTCTCTCTATGATCATGCTCAAGTAGCTCTTCCACAAGGATTCTACAGTAGGTCAATTAATATGGGCTTTATTTCCGCTCTCTCAGACAAGAAAGACGACCCACCCGACTGGGCAACGATTTAACCACCACAAATCCTTATGGCAGCCTTCTTCTCCTCTCTGCAGTTCTCAACATCACTTCCAGTTCTGGCTGAGAGCGTGGGTCATTAAATGAAAATAATGGTCCAGTATTTTATCACCATCATTGGGATCTGTACTGCAGTACTCTTCTTGTGGGTCTCCACTTGAAAACTAACCCCAGAATATCTCACCCGGTCTCTAAACTGATGCTAATGGCTTCTGGCCCAAAACTTCTCACACCGCGCAATCGTCATCCATCCATCGAGCCAGATAGCACGCAAGGACCGCCAGGCATTAAAACAAGATCCGTCACTGATGCCTGTCTCGGGAGCGCTCTGGTTAAGGATGGGTGGGTAGACTATCGGGTAACCCCAAGGCTCCTCGCGAGGCGTCTTGGTAAGGTCTGTAATCGGCACTGTGATTCGCGAGTACCCCATGATGAACCGCCTATACCAATCGCGAATCCAATAAACTTCAGCAGTGAGCGCCGCATGCTCTTCGTGCAAGCCTGGCCGTCCACGGGGCGGTTCTTGCGCAAGGAAATCCCCACCCCGGCTGAATTGCGATACCTGGGGTTTGATCCCTCTTCGTCAAAGTTGCAGGTGCCGCGATCACCGTCGCAGACGGAGGAGGATGCCTTCACCAAACAACTGCGACGGATCGGTGCTTTGGAATGGGAGAATGAAGACAGGTGCGAGGAGGCGTACTTCGGCGATTCGCTGGACATAGGCCTCCGCAGATTTCGGCAGGCAACCTACGGGTGGCCTTCGAGCGGCAAGGGGCTCTGGACGTGGGAGTACGATGCTCACCCACGCCGGTTGGAACAGGAGGCCGAGCAGCGTGAACTGCTGGCTGCGCTGAAAGGGGCTCAGGATATGGATGAGCAATGCGCGATTCTTGAGCGATTGGGGCTGGCAACTTTCTATGAGGATCCAGCGGACTATCTTCGGCTTGCGGACCTTTACAGGGTCAGATGCAGAGGGAGAGTGTATGGTATGAGGGAATTATGACGAATGGCGGTCATGGTGAACTGGAATGGGGAGTATCTACGGGTCAGTGGAGGGCCGTTCGTGACCTCCAGTATCCGGACCGGAACACCAATAACTTAGCATCGAGCTTGGAGTCGGGTATAGTACTACAAATATATATGAACTTCAATACTATAATCGCCAGGATATCTGAAACTAAGATTAAAAACAGTGTTTTGTTTTTGTTTTGTCATATATAGCCTTTAGAAAGTCCCAATTAATGTCTTTATTCTAGTAAATTTGAGACAGAGCAAGCACAATATTCAGATATTGGTTAAGAGTATATGGCACCCGAAAGGTGCACTGCTAGCACTCTGAAGCGCTGTAAATCAGAAAGATATTTGACGATAACGCGCAACCCATTGACAATACCGGACGCAGTATGGATAAGTAGCATGAGTTTCAATGTTACGTGCGGAGTGCAGCATCAACATGGCTAACTTCCCCTCACTTCCCCTCTCGAGAAAGCCACATCAGTCATCCCGGCATAAGACAAGCATTACATCGCGCTCACCATCACATGTAATACTCACCTCAATGCTCATCCAACATCTCACCGATAAACTAAAGTTCTACCCCGCAAGACGAAAGGCCTGGGAAGACTTGACCGAGAGTCGACATTGAATCTGGAACCATGCGACCCCTTTCCATCCAAGCCAGAAGCTCAACTCCGAGCTCATCGAGCCACAATGCTGGAGAAAGGAATTGAGGACCGGCCATTTTCGTCATGGGCCATCATGGTGAATCTACCATGGTTGAATCCCCAAGTTGATCTATATAATGACCCTTGAAGGATGGACAAATTCGAGAAATCAGGACATCAGTGTCTCCCGGAGTCATCGACGTTTCCAACTTTATTTCTATAACCCAATCACGCAAAACACCAGCATTCTGTCCTTCATCAATCTTCTACGCAAGACCTCCAAGCCCCCCACCAAAATGCGCGGAAAGGTCACCATCGAGGAAGCCTTCGAGATCCCGTCCGAGGCGGATCAGAGCCGCGACCAGGCGGCGATTTACGTGGCACCGGACGACCTGGAGCGCTACCTGCGGCAGATCAAGTCGATCACGGGGGAGCGGCTGAAGATCTCGGAGGACAACGGGATCGGGTACACGGTGCTGTCGCTGACGGTGCCGGGGATCCAGGGGATCCGGGAGCGGGAGAAGGCGGAGTCGCACGCGCGCGAGGTGAACAACTACATCGCGGACAAGATCAAGGACCACCGCGACCGGCTGGGCGCGTTCGCGGCGCTGTCGATGCACGACCCGGCGCAGGCGGGCAAGGAGCTGCGGCGCTGCGTGAAGGAGCTGGGCTTTCACGGGGCCCTGCTGAACGACGTGCAGCACACCAACCAGCGCGGCCGCTGCCTGTATTACGACCAGCCCGAGTACGACGAGTTCTGGCGCGTGGCCGTCGAGCTCGACGTGCCCATCTACCTGCACCCGGCCGCGCCCACGGGCGACAACTACAAGGAGCACTACGAGAACCGCAAGTACCTGGTCGGCCCGCCGCAGAGCTTCTGCAACGCCGTCGGCCGCCACGTCATGGGCCTCATCACCAACGGCGTCTTCGACCGCTTCCCCAACCTCAAGCTGATCCTCGGCCACCTCGGCGAGCGCATCCCCTTCGACTTCTGGCGCGCCAACCACTGGATCAACGACGTCGAGCGGCCCCTCGCCAAGAAGAACGGCGACACCATGTGCGAGCGCGACGTCCTCCACTACTTCAAGAACAACATCTACGTCACCACCAGCGGCCACTTCAGCACCAACACCCTGCGCTTCGTCGCCGAGGAGATCGGCGTCGACCGCATCATGTTCAGCGTCGACTACCCCTACGAGAGGCTGGAGAACGGCTGCGGTTGGTTCGACAACAACTCCGACGAGCTCAAGAAGATCCTCGGCGGCCGCGACGGCTATCTGCGTGTCGGCAGGGACAACGCCAAGAACGTCCTCAAGCTCTCCAAGTTCAAGGACTCCGACGCCCCCGTCTGATCTGGATGGCTTTTTAGGAGTCAGCATCAACTGATTTGCCTGCTTGCTTTCGCTTTTGCTCGATTTCGAGTCTTGGCTTCTCTATTCTTCGTGTCTTTCATTGTTTCGTTTGTGGGTCGTAGGCTGAAAATTGCGTGGAACATGCGCTGAATCAGGGGTGGGGGCGGGTTTGCTAAGACTGTGAACACTCCTTACTTAGGTAACTCATCTAGTAAGTAGGAATAATGCATTGTTTGTTTCCTTGCTTGCTTGAATCATGTGGGAACGTTACTCATCGTATTGTATAGCTCGTAACAGCCGTTAGAGTAGCACAAACACACTTGATTTTTAGAAAATAGGGCTCGCTATTCACAAATAACAGGGGAACATGGCACGTGGTACTCTGAGCGCTCTAGCATACGTCTGGTCCTCTCAAGGCAACGCTTTGGATGCCCCGTCAAAGACAGAAGCATTGGGTTAATTCGACTGTTTTGTAATCCAAGCGCGACTAAGGCAATCTGACGAGAACTAAAGTAACTTGATTCATATCGATCTTCTTTGCAATAATATATAGACTCCCATGTAAGTCATCTTTGCTAGACATACGATTCAAGTTCAAAAACTCAAAGTTTCGGCTTTGCCACATATTTGCCCTCCGTCCCATCCAACTGCGCTTCCAACACAGCCGTGGTGCCATCCTGCACACTCTTGATGGCCTCGGGCAGCAACCGACGGAGCTCCGCAACCGTTGACGCCTGCGCCGCCCAGAATTGACCTCCCGAGGCCGCCTTCGCGATCCCGGGGTAGTCCGGAGTGGGCGCGAAGGAGATGTTGAGGTCTTCGTTGGTGGCCCGGGAGCCGTCACCGTTGGGGTGCACCAACAGCATACTCCTCCGCGGGGCATTCCAGCCCTTATTGTTCAAGACAATTGTCAGGATGGGGATATTGTACCGGCGCGCCACCCAGTACACGGAGCCAGGCACCGAGAAGAGGTACGTGCCGTCGCCTACGATTTGACAGACGAACTTGCCCTTGTTGTTCCCCCCGTGTTCAAGATCGGTCGCGAGCTTGATGCCCAAAGCACCGCCACCAGACCATCCAAGACCACCGCCGCCGCAGTTGATCCAGGATTTGGGGATAGTTGCCGCGATTTGATCGGAGACGATCCCAGTCAGCGTCACGGACTCGATCGCCCAGATGGTGTCAGCAGGACAACCTCCCCGGAGCTGGGAGATGAGATACGACGCGTTCAACGGCGCCCCGTCCCCGCCTGCTGGGACCACGGCCATATCGGTGATTGCCTTGCGCGTTTTCCTGAATTCTTGCTCACGACGTTCGCCCCGCGTTTGGTTCTCTGCCGTGTTGATAGATTGTTGTAGCTTATGATTGGATGCAATAAAGTCGTTGATCTGCTTGAACGCCGTTGCAGACTCCGCCCGGTAAGTTGCACTCGAGTTGATATAATGCACAGGTATCTGTTGCTTGAGAGGATCCACGTCGACGTGGACAATTTTGGCGGTGTCGGAAGGCTTGCAAATGGTAGGAATCCATGGTACGTCGCAATCGGCAACCAGAATAAAGTCAGCCGTCTTTATCGCATCATGGATTCCAAACCGCATTCCTAGAGATGCTGCATGGTCACCTGGGAAGCACATGTCGCAGCCACCAGTATCTAGAACGCGCAGGCCCTTGAATGTGTCGGCTAGAGTGACCAACTCCTTCACTGCCTGGGGGTTGCGGCCTGAGTATCCTACGATTGCCAATGGCTCTTTGGCAGCCGCAAGCTCAGTAGCAATCAACTCCACTCCTTCCGAAGGTAGTGCTGGTGGAGCAACTCGTACCCACTGGCTTTGATTGATGGAGTACGGGGTTATCTCCTCCTCCATGACTTCTCGAGCACCAGCCAGGTAGACAGGGCCCTGAGGGTCGCTTGTGGCGAACTGTAAAGCCCGATTCACCATCTGTTTGATGTTCTTGCCCGAACGGATTTCTCCAGCATAACGACAGTACTGAGAGACGATCTGCTTCTGGTCCGGAACATCTTGGATCCAGTGGATGTATTCGGTGCGAGAACCCCGCATCTCACCCTCAATTGTATAAGGAGAAAGACCGGCAAAGATCAGAACCGGAGCACGACCACAGGAAGCGTTGTGGATGGCTGCAGCGAGACCTTGCGTGCCCACATCGACGTGAACAATCACACATTGAGGCTTGCCAGTCAGACGCGCATAGCCATCGGCCATGGAGAGAGCCACCATCTGCCAAGAACGAAGGATTGCGGGGTTAGTGCGGAGGTGCTTGAAGCCGAGAGCCTGGCGATAAAGAATCAACCCACCTCATTGGGACATGTTACAATCTTTGGGAACTCGGTGGGTTTCTCTTTCTGGCCTTTGACCATGGCTTCTAGGATTGAGGGATGATCGGAACCCAAATTCACGAAGACATGAGTGACGCCGGCCTGCCAAGTCAGCTCCTGCTGTGAGAGATGTGGTCATCGAGGTCCAAATTAGCATACCTCCCACAGAGCCTCGAAGAAGGCAAAAGATGCAGTGTAGACCCTGCCGCCGGAGAACCGTCAGTGATTGCCCGCTTGCTTGGATATTCATTCATGAATTGCACCTACATGGTGATGACTTCAATCAAGATCTGGGGTTCAGGATTCGATATGGATGAGAACAAGCGGGGGAAGTGGGATGTAAGGGGGATGTAGCAGAGAAGAACGCATTTTGACTGATTGATAAAGTAAGGGCTCGGGTTGAAGTCCGAGCAGTGGAGCTTGAGCCCGAGGTTAAGATGGGGCGATGGAAGGTGGATTGTAGATTGTGAGTGAGGGGAAATGATGGAATTGACTTTCTGAGGTATGAGTAAGCCACTTTGTAGCAGCAGTAAATCTTCTAAGCGAGGAGGGGAGGAGAAGCATTCTGCCGTACCACCCCTTCTTTCCCCGCTCGCTGCACTGGACTCAAGTACGACTACACCACTGTACATACACAACATATGCACTGACCTGCACCAATATTCTCCGAGGAACTCGACTCTTTCTTACATCAGATGCAAATCAGCCCTATGCAAGTTCTTTGCCGGGTTCCCGCCCTTTCTTGGAGCTTGTTTCCAGAGCCAAGCCGGTTACGAGTGGAATGGATCCATCTGGCACTGGGGCCGATGACGTGGTGGCTCAGCCCAGCAAGACAATACTGCTCCCATTTTTCGTCATTTCCATGTGCGACTGTGAAAGCAACCCCTGCAATGTGCAGCTTCCATGGACTTAAAGGATCCATTATCACTACTAATTATACATGATAGCGTACGAACCATCGCACCAGAACACAGCTTAGGTAAAAGAGATTTGGTCAGTCACATAAATTAGTCGCTGACATGCCGCGTAGGCATCACAATACTAGCACTTCTACTTTTACGTCACAGTTTGCCGGTGCGTCGGTGATTATTTATGGCGGCCCTTTTGCGACCGGACGATGGTGCCTCATCCACTTTACTGCTCTATATTAAGCTATCCGGGGCCCTCTTCTCCATATGTCTGAGTACCACTGTTATCTGGTTTTTTCGTCAGCCCAAAAGTCCCAATCAGTTTCGCACCACCATGCTACCGGACAGTGTTTACAGGCTCTGCCATGAAGATCAGACCGTTACATCCGAGCTGTTACGTGATCCCTCACAGTCACCCCCAAAAGTCTTTCACCACCTCTACAACGATCACAAATCCAAAAATCATTCCGACTCGAAGGAGTCTTTAACCGGTAGAGATGAACTGCAAAAGGCGGCGGAGTGCGGGAACTGGGGTAATTCCCAGCCAAGCAAGCTTTTCCTTCAGGTCAGTCAGCTCGATAAACTTCTAGATGGCGGGGGATGATTGCTGACTACTGTGATGCAAGATTTACCACGATGCTCTCTGTGCGTTAGATAAGAACCCAATGGCGGGCGTCGTCTCTCCGCCATTAATGGGAAGTCATGGTGTTGTACCTTTGACCATTATCGCTCCCTTGCCAGATTTGTGTCGACACATGGCGAATTGCATTGTGCGTGCGGAGAAGGAGGTCTTTCTGGCAACTAACTTCTGGATCCACTCCGACGCATCCACGCTTATAACCAATGCATTCCGTGAGCTTTCCAAAAGAGCAGGCGAACGCGGTGAGAAGGTGATTGTGAAGATGGTGTACGATCGGGGTGACCCGCAGCAGCTGTTCGAGAACCATCTGCCCGTACCCGAAAAGAAGTACAGCGGCGGGAAGGTTAAGCTCCCCTCGTCCGAGGAGATCCCTAATATAGACCTGCAGGTCATTAACTACCACCGACCAGTGTTTGGTACATTCCATGCCAAGTTTATGGTCGTTGATCGTCGAATCGCGCTGCTACAGAGCAGCAACGTCCAGGACAATGATAACCTGGAAATGATGATTCATGTCGAAGGGCCCATCGTCGATGGTCTTTACGATACAGCATTGATCTCTTGGGGTCGGCCCCTGGAGCCCACTCTGCCGATGCTCGCGTCGCCAGCCACGGGTGCTGCGATCCCCTGCCAGTCGACCGTGGAGCTGGACCATGCAGCACCGGCACGCGGTCCTCTTCCTGAGCTCACCGTACAAGAATCCCACTATGATACGAGTCTAAAACATGAAGCAGAGCGAATGAATGGGCTACTTGAGCCTCGTGACGGTGAAAACAAAATTCAAGCTGTCACTCGTCGTTTGAGTATGTTGATCCTCGCAACTCTCATTGCAGATTGCTGACCGCGACCAAGATACTACGATTCAGCCAAATACGACGGGTGACGCTTCGGAACGTGATCAAGAGCTTCAGATGCAGCCTTATATTGTTCTTCCGCCCCATGATCCTTTCCCAATGGCTGTAGTCAACCGAGAACCTTGGGGGGGTAAGTCCAGTCGCGCGCCATTAGCAGTAGATGGTCACTAAAGAAGCGATACTAGCACCGAACCACACGAGCGTTCATACCCCTCAGAACAGCAGTTTCCTCGCCGCCATTCATAATGCCCAAGAATCGATCTTCATTCAGACTCCGAACATGAACGCGGAACCCATCGTTCAGGCTCTGCTGGAGGCTATCAAGACTCGCGGCGTAACGGTCACTGCATACTTGTGTCTGGGCTACAATGACGCTGGAGAGCTACTTCCGTTCCAGAATGGTACAAATGAAATGATCGCGCATCGGATGTACAAATCGCTGGAGACCGATGAACTTCGCTCCCGACTTCGAATCTACAACTACGTCGCCAAGGATCAGACCAAGCCCATTCACAACAAGTTCAAGCGGCGCAGCTGCCATATCAAGTTAATGATCATTGATGATAAGGTGGCCATCCAGGGTAGGTCTCACATATCAGACGTTTTTGTGTTGCGACCATGAGTTATTTCTGATCTAACATCATCATATAGGAAACGGCAACCTCGACACACAGTCCTTCTACCACAGCCAAGAAGTGAACCTCCTTCTCGACTCACCGATTGTCTGCCGAGCATGGAGGGAGGCTATTGACCGCAACCAGAACACGGCTCTGTACGGCGCAGTCAGCCCGGAAGATGGCTGCTGGCATGATCCTACCACCAATGAGATTCCCGAGGGATCCATTGGCACTGATCCTGGTCGCTTCAGCTGGGCGAAGGGCGTGGTTGGCGCTGTTCAACGTGTGCGTGGTGCAGGAGGATTTTGATTAACCCTATACTTGCTATTACTTTACGACATCTTGTTGATATCTACTCCTCACTGTCTAATTTCGGATCTTTTCTGGTGTATATAACCTTTGACCTGTATATGCTAATGTGAACAAGAAGCTGCAATTTCGATCGGGGCCATGCTTTTGGTGAGCTAAAGTCTTGTTCAAAGCTCCAAGTCTATTTGAACTTTCTCGACGTGCCATAAATTACATGTCAACAGACCAGGCCAATAGCTATTCTTCTGGAAAGCCATCTTCTCAACAGGTGAGAAGGAGTGGACGTAGTTCGTGTCAGGTCTGGCTCTTTCGGGCCTGGGGAGGCTCTGGGCTACATGGCTCTGTGCGAGTCTAGAAGAGACGACTACGATGCATTACTGTGTCTTTGGGTGGTGGTCCACGGTTCGGGGTGTTATTACTTCTTTGGATGAAAGTCGAGGCCAGTCAAAAAATTTCCGACTCCCATGACTGAGCGGAGCTCCCGAACTATCCTCGGTCGGTTTCAGTGCTAGATCTCCATGAGAAGCACCAGATGGTCCTGCATGAGGATTGCTTACAGAGACAAGACAAGCAAACATATGAGAAGCTTCTATCTCAAGTTTTTCAATCCATGATTGACTAACTAATCAGGATCAGCTAGAACCATTTACATTTACACGGGGTGCGTAATATAGGTATAAATATTGCCCGTAGGGCTGAGCAAGGACGGTGGGTCTACAAGCCCAGAACAGGGGAAAAGTCTACTGCTCTACAGGTGGGTTTGACTCCGGGAATGAATACCAGGTAGCTGAGCAGACAACACGGTCGCTGGGCCCAGTCTACAATCTTCCATTATTCTACTTATCTCTTCCTTCGGAATTGGTAGTGATAGGGTTGCTGCTCCGTCTAGTAAGCTACCGCCAGAATCTTAGGCAAGAGTGGTAACTTCACCCAGAAAAACAGCATATGCAGGGTGATTCCAGCTAGCTTTAAATCACACCGTAGTATCCTAACTACCTACTTACCTCTAACCAAGTTCCTCAAAACAATCAAGAGTGAACACGCCCATGATCCTCACCATCCAGGCAACCTGCGAAAGGCATAGCTTACAAATCACGAAACGTTGCCCACTCCCTGCAACGTCAAATACACATCCGTGCCCCAGCCCCAGAGACTCTGAATGGCAATACTGCCCCCAAAGTACTCCGCGTACGCGCGACTCAACGGCAGCCCGTACCCGAGTCCGGCGATACTGCTTAAATGTCCATTGGCTCCTCCACCACTGGTGGACGCAATCGTGTTCAGCGCCTCCATGCCTTCGTTGCTCTCCGAGCCCCCGTTGTGCTCATCGTACTCTGAGAATGTCGTGAAGCTGTACGACCAGATATTCGGCAGCACTTCGGGAGGGATGCCGCCGCCGCGGTCACGAATGCGGATCGTGATGCACTGCGCGGACGGCGGCGTGGTCCAGGCTTTGATGGATTCGTTGGCGTCGGCGGTGCCGACGACGGTGTTGTCCATTTCGAAGCCTAGGTCTGCCTCGGATTGTGGGGGGCACGGGTGTTCTTGTTGCAGTGGTTGTTGCTGCTGCCAGCCTTTCGTGGTCATTCTGGCGAGGGGATCATGGTGGTGATGATGGGAAGAGGGGACGTCCGGGGCGGCGGCGATGGTGACTTCGATGGGTTCGTGGCCGTTACCGGACTCGACGGTCGCGCGGAAGGCGTTCTTCAACAGCTCTGTGAGGATGTATTCCACGTGGACCGGGACGTGCGCGAACGAGGCGTCCGGCTGGCCGCCGATGACGAGCCGGGGCCGCACGCCGTATTTGAGTTCGCAGATCTCGCCGACGAAGTCCTCGCAGAGCTTGACAATCCGGGCCGGTTGCAGGGCGGTGTCAATCACTCCGATGTAGTTGGACGGAGCCGCGGCAGCGTCCTTGGCTGGTGGGGATGATTGCGGTTCTCGTTGTCCCTTGGGCTCGTGGTGGCTATCCCGGATTGGCTGCGAGGCGAAATGAAGCGCCAGGTGTTGCTCGGCGATGAGGCGGGTGCCGATGCGGGCGCGGAGGTGGGTGTCCAGGAAGCGGGTAACATCGGTGGGGTCGATGTAGCGGCGACATTCGAGAAACCCGCGCGCGAGGATCGGGATGGTGTTGGTGTGTGTGTGCACTAGGTCGGCCAGGACATCGGCGAACTGGGTCAGCTCTTCCACGGTAGTAACCTGGCGCTGTTGGTAAGGGAGGAGGGTGGAGAGTGAGTGGAGGTAGTTGTTGTAGATCTGCGTGACATGGGGGTTCGAAACGACGATGAAGGGGAGGTTCCGGAGGGCTTCGATTCGTGACGCCAGCCGTGCTGGGAGCAGGGACAGGGTGAAGTTGGCCGAGGCGAGGAGGGCATCCTTGGATAACGGCGGTCTTCCGTGTCTGGAGCAGACGCCAGCATTAGTATCTACAGCGCTGTAGTTTCGATGCAATCTCAGGTTTGTAGTATCCAAGAGGCCAGGCAACTTACTTGAGCAAGTCTGTCAGCGTCAGTGGCCGTCGACGACTGGCTGCAAGGCGTGCGACTTCATCGTTAGCCCCATATGCGAAGGGGTGTTGAGAGGCTGAGACGTGTCGGAGAGATGACGCCGACCACGGGCGTGTCTTAGGAAGGGTGCATAGTTGTGTGCGCGAGAGTCTGGCACCCACAGACGGCATCTGCAAAGCCCGTGGTAGTGTCATCACGGTTTGTAGCCATCATTCAGCTTCAAATCGGGGAGGTTAACTTATCAGTAATGACCTCACTGCGTCCCTGCTGGGGGGGGTTTCCCGCACATTCTGCCGAAAG